CCCCCCCCCCCCTTGGCCCCCTTCTTGGGGCTGGGCTCCTGACTCTTTCTGCAGCCTTTTTACTTGCTTCTCCTTGGCCCCTTCTTACTGCTATCTTTCGGCCACTCCCCTGATCTTAGGATCTATAGTATCTAACACTTAACCTTCCCTGATAAGGGCGAAACATCTCGGAGGTCTCATACGCAAGTTGCGCACGTTAAAGGCCCTTTGGTGGTCCAAGTAAGAGTAGGTTTCAGCCGCTACCCGGACAATTTTCAAAAGAAAATTCCTACCAAACTGAATAAATGTTTAATGTGTCCAACGCGCTCATATGACCTTATACACTTGTGAGGGTCATAACTCAGTCACACATACTTTTTTGGTCCCTCCTGCCTACCCAGCAGTAATGTGTACCTGACTTCGAATTGGGGAAGTAAAGACGGCGTACAAAGGAACTGGCAACCCCACCACAATAATCGAAGGCCCAGGAAGTTGTCTCACAAGGAAGGCAATCCCCAGTGTCTGGATCGGAAGCGGGAACAATTTTACATATTCGTGCCAGAACCCCAACCACAGCTTGTTGGTCAAACTAATTTGTCTAAGCCTTATCGAGGTCTCTAGACGTAACTTTACCTCTTTTTTGGAGTACCCATTCGGTTGGGGGGGGGGGGTCGGTTCCCTTATACAAACCCATCGCCAACCGATCGCCCAACTTGTCGCCTGAAAACAAACGCGTTTGTTTTTCCTCTCTTACTGCTCTTTATATGAGTTGAATTTTTTTTTTTAAACGAGTGTTTTATAAGATGAGATGTGGGCCAATGGCCATAAACACTGAATAAACGTACTTACTTATGAGTTAGAAAAGAGAGTCGGTGGAGATGTTTCCAACTGTTGGCCCATCGTAAAACTCGGGTTTCTCTTTTGGAGCAGAAAAGTTATTAATCACTGCCAATGCTTACGTTTTAGCTGTTCCTGTCTTACTTTCATTGTTGGTTTTTTTTTTTATGTGTCTTATTTTTCTAAGGCTGCCTGTTTTGTTATTCATTTTGGATTCGTTGCTCTATGTGGTCCTTGGCATTCAATGCGTTTTACAGGGGTTTGGGGCGGGGGGGGGGTTGTTTTTTTTTTTCTTTTTTTCTTTTTTTGCATTCTGCCACTAGATGGTTTCTTCCTCCACATCTAAAGTATGTTTTTGTAACTACTTTGCATTGAGATGATGTGGGTCTCATTTTAGGCACAGTGGTAGGGCTTTTATGAACGGATAAACCGTCCTTGACCCAAACGAGGTTTTGATTGTATCAATCAATAGGTTACCCGTGACTTTTACAGGAAATATCGATGTCTTTCCCTGTCTTTGAGATTCCAGAACATTTGAGGAGTCCACGGGAAAAACGGGAACCGTTACAAGCTGAAAATCGTGAGTGTATGAATTTTGAACGCTTGTTGACGCACAACATTATTTCTCGCCATTTATTGTTTAATTATTTTTGTTTGATTTCTCATTCAACAAACATAACAATAAAACACCAGTAAAACAAATTAATAAGAAGTTATGAGTCTACAAGCTGTTAAAATTGATTATTGATACCCACACAAATTTCCAGTGTGTGACTTATCTTTTTGTGGTGGCCGAATTTTGCTATTCAAAAGGCTTTTAAAAGGCTGCATCGATCGACAAGGGGTTTTCGCCAAAAGATTCTTTAAAATATTCTCCAGATCATGACGCCCTTGGTTCTTTCCGTTTTGAGACAGTTTATCTTCAAAAAACTAAATTTCTTTATTTCGCCGATCGCTTTTGTAGGCCGACGCTTCTGTCTCTGTAATTTTAGAAAACCCGCAAGTGATATTTCGTGAGGCGCATTTTGTTTTGAGAGTATAGATCTAGGCCTTCTAATTTTTTGCATTTCTCAAGATTTATTGCCCCATTCCAGAGGAGTGTAAATATTGTAAGCCAATTACTTTTAGTTGATATTAAAGCACCGATCATTCCTTTCATCGAAAGGGGGCCCAGCTAGTATCCTCTGTTTTCCATTGTGTGCTTCCCATACGAGGAGTGTCACGATGTGGTGGAATCAGTTTAATTTTGGGGCATATGGAGCTATTGGTTTCCTCTTACAGCATGTCTATTTGCCTTGTTTTTAGATGAAAAAAAATACCATTTATCTTGGATACAAGTCAGAATATGGGCGATTGAAGGAGGTTGGAGTCGCCTGGTTTCAGAGGTAAAAATAGCTAGAAAATTGTCGCTAAATTTGAGTTATTTCCTTAGCTTGAAAGTACAGGAAAACTGAAAATTTACATCAGTAATGCCCTTAATCAACGTTTTTTCCAGTAATATCCACTCAGAAATGTCTTCTTTAACACTTTGGTATCATATTTTGTGGAAAATCCAAAGACATTGAGTGGTAAACATCGCCAATTAGCGAGATGAGGCGGCAATGTAAGAAATGTGTTCAGCGCAAAAAAATTTTTTATTTTTTTAAATTTGTAAAAAATAAATTCGAAGACAATAAAAATAGGTTAGACACAATCAAGGTTGAAAAAATGTATACAAATTTAAAATACTCTGGGAACTTCTGATATTTACCAGCAGAACGCACTCAAGCGCAAGTCCATTAAAAAGTTATACTTAAAGAAGACACGTCTTTTCCAAATTTTAGAAACAAAATAGACTGCCTCATAGGGAGTAACCAAAAATACGAGGAATGTATCTCATAAAAAGGTGAATGAATAATAGAGAAGATAAAAAACAAAAGGAGTAAAAATTAATATAAAACGACAAGAACAATGAGACCATTATCTTCCACCCTCCACTGCTCTAGCCAGTTATGTACATTATCTCTACCGATTGTAAATCAAAGGAATGTGAAGATCATTTACCTCGACCAATAGGGAGTATCCCAAACTGTACTATAAATGTGACTAAAGCGATGAAAGCACTAAAGAAATAAACACAATGACGAAAACTAAATTATTGGAACATACCTCCTTTTTTTTAGTAGAAGGTTTTACGGCACTCACAACTGTATAAGGTCATATGGGCGCCAGAAGATTAGAGATGTTACAAGAGGGTAACAAACATAAAAAAGAAGAAGGGGAGATAAGGACGATGGATGTTTGATAGGAAAGAAGACGCAAACCACATCAGAGCACCCGCCAACCACCCACAAACTTACCTCAATGATGTCATGAACATATAGAACACACAATCAAAGCTGTTAGCCCTTTTTGGATTTCAGAAGCAAAACATTAATATTATCCTTTAATACGGAACTTCACGGTGACCTTAAAGACTGCCTACGTCCCTCGTGAAGGTTATCTCGCTTATTACTACACCAAATTTTACGTAATTTCACACATATAACAAACACAGTAAGGAGTCTCAAAATCGCGACCATATTGGATTTTGTTGTCATGTCTTGCGTAATGAATACCGCACTTATCGCTCATGGAAATTGATTGGGTTTTTTGTTTGTTTTGCATGCATGCTCACAAACATTAGATCTAAAAATGTGTCTGTTGTTGTTTTCCTAAACGAATTAGAACATTTTAAATTAATTTTTTCCTGAGGTAGCATTCGAGTTTGCAAAAAATTCGTGAAAATCCACACTCCAGACACCGCCAACAAAAATCTATTCCAAATATCAAAAATTCAACAGACACCTATTTAGTATTACATCTTTTCTTCATTCTGTGAAAATTTCATGAAGATTGGATAAAAAAAATGGTTGAGTTATTTAAAAAAGTATAGAGAAAAGTCGCGTTTTGAGAAAACGGCCAATAAAGAAAAATATAATATTGACTTTAAGAGGAAACGGCAGTGATAAACATGCCCGGTATGGGAAAAAATATGGTTCTTATGCGATGAAATAGTTGTAGGAGAGGCTGAGGAAGCTAAAAATGCCTACAGCTCAAATTCCAAAATTTTGAGCCGAATTTTGACTTTTAGGGTGTAGCACCCCACCCCCCCCCTTTCCCCCTTAAATGCAATCCCACTTCATCACGAATCACCACCATTAGTTAAAAAGTCATCATTGCTTTCAGATCAAAGACTTACATCTATATTCCTTGAATCTCTGTCTGTAACAGTTACTTGTCATACAAAGTATGCACGTAATACACCATTGGACACTATCATACGCACTTTTTTCAACTAGTCAGATGGCGTCAATCTCATATAAATGGTTCAGTTTAGTTGTAGTAGAGGTTTTACGGCGTTCACAACATTATAAGGTCATATGAGCGCCAAGGGGTGGATGTTAACAGAGAGATCCTTACAAGGAATCAGACTTACTCTTCTCACCTCTCTAGCTTCAACGGCACAAAGTCTGCTTCGAGTATCAAGGCACCCCGGAAATAGTGGATCACAAGAGTGTGACAAACATACAAAAGCAGTAGATGAAAAATGACAATAGTAAGCATTAGGAAAGAAAAAGCAACAGTTCTCTGGTGTAGATCAGGCACAGTTATGAGCGTGACATAGATAAATCAGCCCATTTACAAATCTACTGTGCATGAACGAGAAATGTCCCCCCTTTGGGAGAGGCCTAAAGACACTTCAGTCAGTGGCATCGCCCCGGGGGGGGGGGGATATATAAATGGGCAAGGAATGAAAAGATAATATGTATATCCTTCATCAATTCCTGTTGTTACCTGCGCGGAGGTTCGTGCAGGCTCCTGTGTTGGGGTCGCAGTGGCCCGTTGGTGGCTCACACCTGCACTTTCTGTCACAGGTAGGACCCCACGTTCCTTCAGGACACACGGTATGGTTGCAGTAAGGTAATGCAATGAAAGGGACGGGGCATTCGTTAACAAGGCACTTTCCAGTTAATACGGAGCAAAAGACCCTGCCACACCTAAGAGAACATGTCTTCTGGCACCGGGATCCAAACGCTCCCTTCCGACACCTCGTTACACCACAGGATCTTCCGAACATGTGGTCTTCACAGCCGTAGTAGCAGTCCCCAGTGGTCACATTGCACTGGTCCCCGTACTGGCAGAAACAGAACTGCTTGCAAAAAGGACCAAACCGGTTTAGAGGGCATGCAGTTTCGTTGCAGGCGGCTCCTCGCCAGTTTTCTTGACATCCATTTGGGCAGTTTCCGGTGATGAGGTCACATGGCTCTTTGTCCTTACAACGACACTGGTACTCGCAGGAAGGGCCATATCTGTCGTAGCGACAAGGGGAGTAATCACAATGTCCGTTAAAATACAACTTTGAGCAGCCTATAGCACAGCCTCTGGTAGAGCACAAAATTTTCCCCCCGGGACATATACACAGATTGACCTTGCAATCCTTAAACTTTCCCGTTAGTTCGAGGTGCACCTCATACAGCCCTTCAGTAGCGCGATTACAGATGGTATCCCTTATGAACATATTTTTGGGGTGTTTGTTGTAGTAGATTCCAGCCCCGAGACAAGAACTATCGTCCCTACGAGGTTCAGGTGGTCGAAAAATAGTTACATCTGTGTTATCTACCATAGGTCCTTTTCTCCACCGAAAATCATTATACCATGTCCCTGAACTAGAACCTAGGTAAATGAACGTATCACTCCGATAATAGTTTGATTTTACGGCAAACGACTGATTGAAGATGTCCCAGTCGAGTGCGTTTCGTATGGTAGCCAGTTTAGCACCAAACGTCTTACTCAGCTCTACGTGTTTCGGGAAAGAGACTTTGGCACCGGAATAGAAGAACATTTTTTGAACAAGGGTTCTATTCGGCGACTCTGAGCAAGGCTGGCTGCCAATCTGTGTGACAAAGAGTTGAAGCAGGATCAGCATGCAAGACGACAGCAATCTTACATCCCAAACCATTTTCGGTTAGATTCAAGATCTAGATATCTAGATGTAGATCTAGAATCTAGATCTAAATCTACATCTAGATCTGAGATAGATCTAGATTCTAGACGTGCTGTGAGATAATTTTCTACTTGAATACAAAACTAAGAGCACTTGAACTAGACACAGCCACCATCCTTTCTTCACTCCGTCTACATGAAATGCTATCAAGAATCAAATCAAATTCGACCATTTGGAATAAATACTGACAAGCCTTCGTGACTCTGTGTCTCAGACACCAGTGTTGTCATGAAAAGACGGACATCCTTTCAGCACCAAATTGCACGATGTCAGGCTAAAATCGCACGGTGCGCATGCACGGAGAAAATATAACATCAATCGAGGTGTGTGAGTGTGTGTGTGTGTGTGTGTGTGTGTGTGTTTGTGAGTGTGTGTGTGTGTGTTTGTGTGTATTTTTGAGTTTTCAATTTTTTTTTAAGAAAAAGAGATTATCGAAACATACATTTTCGGGCAATTGGTTTTCTTAGAAATCGATTACATCTGATATTTCCTTTCAAGCTAGATGATCTGTTTCGTGAAAGTTTTACTGCGCTCGCAATTGCTTATGGTCATGTTGGAAACACTTTCGTATTTTTTTAACGATGTCAGCATTATTATGGACATAATATTTTTGACCACTGAAGGTAAATAATGATCATTGCAAATGTTGTACATCACGATCTACACAATTCATATGTGAGGCATCGTGGTAGAATCAGGCTGTCGTCAAAATAATCAAAGTGAGGAAACTTGCATTTTTCCGCAGGTTTGTGAATTTTCATCAAATTTTTGTTTTTGGGCTCAACACCTTTCATGCCCATTAAAAAACTCATTTCTGTGTGGATTTTTCTGAAAAATGTTGATTAAAGGCACAAAGAATTTAAATTTTCAGTTACCACGGACTCTAAAGCTAAGGAAATAACTAATCTTTGACTGTTATTTTCTCACTAATCTTACCTCTGAGAACAGGGGACCCCCACCTTCTTCAGTCGCAAATATCTCGACTTCTATACAAGATAAATGGATATTTTATCATCCAAATAAAGACAACTGAACACGCTTTAAGATGATACCAATAACTGCCAAAAATTGACGAGAGCCTGATTCCACCACGCTGTCTCACATATAATTAAGGAGGCTGGCTGCTACGGTACTGCTACGGAGAACAACATTATAGCAGTTAATCAGAGAGAGATAGAGATAGAGAGGGGGAGGAGGAGAGGGAGACTGACAGACTCACAGACAGACAGACAAACAGACAGACAGACAGACAGACAGACAGACAGACAGACAGACAGACAGACAGAGAGAGAGAGAGAGAGAGAGAGAGAGAGAGAGAGATCCTAGACAAAGTAGCTTTCCCGTAGCGGGAACCAAAATCACGTCTTTTGAGTGCACAGCTGACTTCAATATCAACACATCACTGATGCCCGTGTAGGCTACTTACTGCGAAAACTTCCAAAACAGTAAGGTCATATTACAAGCACCGAAGATTAGAGGTTTCCGAGAGAGCAACAAAGGGTGTTTGGGGTAGGGGATATTCTTACATGTTCTTATGCACAGTAGAATTGTAAATGGGCTGATGTATCAATGTCATGCTCATACTGCGCAGGAACAACAAAGAGGGAACTGCTACTTTTTCTTTCCTCATCCTTTCTATTGTCATATTCCTCTACTTCTTTTGTATGTTTGTCTCTCTCTCTTGTGAACTGCTATTTCCGTTGTGCCTTAATAGTCGAAGCAGTGTTCGTGCTGCTGTGGCTAGAGAGGGGAGCAGAGTAAGCCTGATTCCCCTTTTGGACTTCTCTGTTGACATCCATCCCCTTTCGCTCGTATGACCGTATGCAGTTTCGAGCGCCGTAAAATCTTACTAAAACAAACGACAAATAAGGGGCTCTGGGGAAAGGCAGAACCATTGTAGCCTGGCTACTGCTCCCTGCTAATATGAGTGGTAGGAAGGACGGACGCTCCCCATCCCCTAAATCTCTCACATGCTGGCTCTAAGCACCAAACCCCGGGGCCTCTCCTCAGCAGAAGTGTGTAACCATGTTAGGGGGTGGTGGGTGTTAACACGGCACAGCTGGACCTATGACCTGTACCTAATGAGGGGGAATGGGCGGACTCTAACTGAAAACAAACACGTTTGTTTTTTATACGGGGTGCCCTCTACGGATGGGATCGGCCGATCGGGCCGATCGCCCGACTCGTTCGCCTCAAAAACAAAACGTGGGTTTTTTTGGTTTTTTTGTTTGTTTGTTGTTTTTTTTGGGGGGGGGGGGGTTCAGTTTCACGCGACCGAGTGGGGCGATCGGCCCGATCCAGCCGTAGTGGGCACCCCGTATTAAGCGACCGAGTGGGGCGATCGGCCCGACCCGTCGATCCCATCCGTAATGGACAACCCGTATTTGGCAACGGCCATGGTGTAGACTTATGCAAGTGATTGTAAGCCTCTGCGTGTGTCTGCATGAGTGTGTGTGTGTGTGTGTGTGTGTGTGTGTGTGTGTGTGTGTGTGTGTGTGTGTGTGTGTGTGTACACGTGATGAAACACCAAACCAATGTGCCAGGATCTGGACAATAAAGATGTATCTTATCTTATCGTACTTCCCAGACGAAGGTCAACGGCCCCGTGAACGAGGTCAAGGCCAGCCCACGGAGAAGTCCGCTGTGGCCCAGCCGGGGAGAGATTGGCGCGGCCAGGCTTTACCGGCTCAGGTCTCGCTGTGTGAGGTGACAGGGAAATGTACGCAGGAGGAAACTCCAACCATGAGTCACGTAAAAAATTCTCAAAAGTTAGTAGTTAGTTTTAGTAAGGTTTTACGGCCCTCGCAACGGCAAAAGGTCATGTGAGCACCAAGGGGTGGTTTAGTTTTAGTAGAGGTTTTACGGCGCTCTCAACTGCATAAGGTCATAAATTATGATCGCCAGAAGGTTAGAGGTGTTACAAGAGAGTAACAAACATAAAAAAGAAGAAGGGGAGATAAGAACGACAGATGTTTGATGGGAAAGAAGAAGCAAACCACACCAGAGCACCCGCTAACAACCCACACCAACAGGTGGATGTCAACTGAGAAGTCCAAACGGGGAATCAGGCTTAAACTACTCACATCTCTAGCCTCAACAGCACAAAGTCTGCTTCGACTATCAAGGCACCCCGGAAATAGCAGTTCCATGAGAGTGACAAGCATACAAAAGAAGTAGAGGAAAAATGAAGATAGTATTGTTCATTCATTGTTCATTGATTCAGGAAGCAGCATCCCTGAACTCCGGACATGTTCATTGATGCTCAGTTGCTCTCTCCAAAATGTTGCTGAGGGTCCTTTCACTGATTGTGCCAGTGCACATCTGGTTGAACGTTCTTCTGTTCTTTCCTGCAAGGATGCCAGATTTTCCGCTTCTTTTTTGTATTCCCAAAAGCATCATCCTCTCTACAACAGTACTGGCCTTTGCCTCCCTATCTTCCACCTCAATCAGCTGGCGAGAGAGACATTTCAGGAATTCGACCCTATCTGGTTGAACCGTACTGTCAACTGTGGCTTCACCAGCCAATCTGTCGGCTTTTTCATTTCCTTTAACACCTGCATGACCAGGGCAGAAAATCCGTTTGAGCGATCGTACAGGCGTTGGTTCGATAACTTGAATACATTCTGTTCTCAGGAAACCTTTTTCGATCCTTCTGGGATACACATGGAATCAGTGATAAGAACAGCATGGGTTGTGTGGGGGCGATCTTGGGTCATCCAATCAAGTGCTTTCGTGATGGCTTCAATTTCCATTCGCAGCCTTGATGTAGCCCTGCTGCTGGCTCCAGATGCACTGTGTATGATTTTATTGTTGACGAATGCAACAAATCTCCATTCACTTCGCTGGCTATCTCTTTTCACTGAACCATCTGTATAAATTATAGGATCCCCTGCTTTTGAATTTGTGTCGACAATCTCGTTGAAATCACTCTCGTTGATGGCAGCCGCAACATGTCTTCTGTCTCTGCCCATGCTTATTTTGACCTTGGTGAGGTCCCTGTATTCTCCTCTCACCTGTTCCCATTCTTTGCCTAGTGGTAGGCTTTCAGGTACACAGATTTTCCCCAGGGAATCCTCTGCTTCCGCCATCCAAAATTTTCCTCTTTGGATTCTGCCTCTCTTGTTGTCATGAAGTGCCTTTTGGAGTGGATGATCCTTCTTGCCCATTACACTGAGATACATCTTTGCCTGAGCTATCCTATGGCGTACTCTGATGCCACTTAAGTTAAACCTAGCAAGTAGTGCATGCACAATATTGGAGTGTCCTTGGTGCAGCCCAGCACTGCTCTCATTGCCTCATTCTGCACTCGATCCAGATTTGCGATCTGTGTATCAGACAGCGTGAGACAGCCCAGTCCGTAATCAATGACAGACAGGACGACTAGCTGCAACATCAGGAAGAGCACTCTTTGCGGAATCAGAGCGGCCGCCATGTTCTTGATCGCACCAACACCTCGTTTGGCCTTTGTTACCACATGTTTCACATACTTGTTGAAGGACAACGACCTGTTGAAGAAATTTCCCAGATACTTCAGCTCTGACTGTCTGCCGATGATCTCATAGTTGCTAAGTGATTGGTGGAGTTATGTCTTGGACAATCCTGTTGTCAACGGAACACCAAAGTACTTGTGCCTTTGAAGGATTGATAACTGCTTCATGTTGGTCGCACCATTTACAACTGAGTGAAGTCTTTTCTCCATGTTCCTTGCCATCTGAAGTCTGTCATCTCCGTGCTCGTATGCCATTATGCCATCCGCAAAGCTTAGGACACGTCCAGATTCCTTCTGGTGCATCGTTACCTGTGCAGTGTAAAAATTGAAAAGCACAGGAGAGGGGGGAGATCCTTGGGGCAATCCAGGAGCAATTGATACCGGATCTGAGGTCCATTCACCCTGTCTTAGGACCATTTTTCTCCACCACGGCTACAGCTACCCATCTCACCAGCCATATGTCTACATCAAATTCCAGGAGGCGATCAAACATTCATAGTCGACTCGGTTGTAAGCATCCTCAAAGTCAGGTGCCGTCACAACTGTTTCCTTCCGCTGCTGAAAGCCTTTAGATGTCGTACGCCATGACAGCCGCATTCACTGAGGTTTCTCGATGGGGTCTATAACTGCCAAGCTCATTTGGCAAAAGGGACTTCCTCTCTAAGTGTGCTGATATTCGTCCGGCAACTATCTTTTCCAGAATTTTCCCATAGGTGTTCTGCATGGCTATCATCCTGTAACCACTGAGAGCTGAGTGGTCTTTTCCTGGTTTGGGGATTGGTATACAACCAGCTGAGTAACCATTCTTCAGGGATTTCACCTTCTTCCTTTAAAACCAGGCGACCCCACCTTCTTCAATCTCAAAGAACTTGACTTCTATTCAATATTTTAGGCATTTTTTCACCAATAACATGATAACTGAACAAGTTTTAAGAGGATACCAATAACTCCACATGCCTAAAAATTGACGAGCGCCTGATTCCACCACGTCGTGACACATATTATAACGTGTCCCCTGCGTCGTCGAGGAGATATAAGGAGATATTTTTTTAAAGAAGAAATCAAACAAGTTCGCTCATAACAAAAACAAAAAATTCAAACAAAAAGTTTACTCACAAATTAAATTCAAAAAACAAAAACAGAACAAAAGAAAACAAATTCACTCAAAACTCAGTGACGTCGGTGGCCTAGTGGTTAG